AATTTTAATTTCAATTAATGCACGATATTTGCATCCAACTATCAAGTAATTATTGGAAAATAATTCAATTTATTGACATCCAACTATCAAGAAATAAAATATCAAGTAATAGACAATATCTGCATGCAACTATCAAGAAAATTGTTTTCACGTAATGCACGATATTTGCATCCAGTTATGAAGATATTAGTACAATCTACCACCGTAAACTAAATAAAGACTTCGGTTCAAAATTCTAACGTATACAACCTGAAGAAGGTCGGAATATATAATGGCCGAAACGTCGTGAATATAACAATGAAAATGAGGACACGAGTCCAAACGTTCAAAATAGTGTAAACAGTTACAATACATCATCTCAGATATATCGACATTCATTAAAATTTTCTTTTAAATAGAAGTAATCAATAAGACTTTCTTAATTTTCTTTTTACAGTCCTTCAGTTATGACCCCAGATTTCAACCTTTCACTTTTCTCTTTTTACATTCACATCATTTCCATTTGTCTTTTATATTTTTCCCATTCTGTACTTCTCCGCATTTTACGATGGCAACGGGTCTTCAATTATTTCCCGTAAAATTCAATAATCTTACGTCAGTTAACTGCGAATAAAATTAATTACTGCTTGTTTTAAACAGTAAGATCATTTATTTCTGTTGTCTCTGCCTAGATTAAAATATTCATTGTTGGATTGTCGTTAGCTGGAATCTAACCCAATGCCGCAAATTTCAAGTGAAAATAAAGCATTTTAAAACAATATATTTCATGTTTTACATTGAACTAAAAAAAGACAATCGCAAAAAAAGTAACTATCTTAACTACGTATAAATAAAATATTATCGATATAATGTAGAATAAAAATCAATAAAATATCTTAGCAACTTCCGTAGTGATATCAGTGTCAGCTGATATCTTGTGAAAGGAAAAAATCTGTGTTACAGAAATTTTTTTGGCAGTTATTACCTTGGCAAAAAAGATTAGCCTCATGGCGACGACCTCCCAAGAAACAGATCAAACAATCCTAACAAAAACGTAATCAAGGAAGAACTCGGGATCTGGCTTCACTCAGTGACCTTGATGATTATTTAGATAGAGCTGACAGGATAGAAAACTCTGTTTTCTATAAGAGAGTGGTTACTAAGAGCAAAAGATACAAAACGTCACAGAGGGGTACATGAGACCTCTCGCCGCGACGCGAAAAGGAAATCACAGCACCCATTAGACATTTACCCATTCTGTCTCGCTCGTTTACAGCAGACAATTACAAAAGGAATCAAATTTGTTTACTGCTACAATTGCCTCATGGTTTTATTCATTGATAACGATCTGATTAAAGAGTTAATTTTTTTAAAGACGTTTGACCGAAAAAATTTGCATCCCGAAACGAACCTGGTGTCTGCTCTGAGGCTGCAAAGCTACACTTAAACAAAATAAAACTATTCGTTTTCTGTTGTGTTTAATTGTATTAATGTCATTCACAAGTCGTTTAATACATTTTCAATGTGACGCTGTTCCCATTTTTTATATTTTCCTTCTTCGGGTTTGTTGCTATGATATCAAGAATTTTTTTATAATAATATTAATCCAAAACATGGCCCAAGAGCCACTCAGCACAATTAGTTTGTGGTACCGTATGAGCTTAAGATAAGTCTGTTTCATAAAGCAACCGTTCTTGAGAAGAAGCTGTTCGAGTGGAATTACTCCTTACTAATGAAATACAAATAGAATGAAAATGATTTATCCTTGCGTATGGGACATAGCGGGTCCCAATTATAAAGTTAAGACTCGCAACACTTCATCTGTGGGAAAGGGGTTTGTATTATGGAAATAAATTCATCATCCGTAAGGCCGCATGAAGGTTTTTGAATTCTATTAAGGGAGACAAGCGTAGGTCCAACACAGCAATGTTATCTGCCTATTGTAAAGACAGCGCATAACATAAGAAAGATAGATGATTTAGACTTTGAGGTCTGGGGAGAGCTTGAGCCCCAATAGACGTTCATGGTAAGAAGCCCCCCCATCCTTGAGTGAAGATCCATTCATCATAACAGGTGAAAAGTTAGGGTCTACGCGGCGGTGATGGGACGTTAATAGTTTGCTTTTGGGGGTACTGAATTTTACAAGTGAGTTTTTTCCCTATTGAGCCACATAGGCTTGGTCAGAGGAGCTGCTAAGTTCTGTTTTTTCGATGTTTGCATGATGTACTATACTCCAGGCCTGCTCATGGCGCAATTGACATCCAGAACTGAAGGCATATTGAAAAATATTTGATTTTCAGAAATCTGGGAAGAAAATTAACTTAACTATTTTTGAAAATTGTTAGAATAACATATTAACACATACCTGATGATAATAGTTTGTGTTGAAAGTTTAATCAATGAAAATATGTATTATTGTTGTGGACACTGATAACTCTTAAAAATAACAAAGTGGCAGTTAAGATTCCTTGTAAAATACATGATTCTCATAATGCTAAAACAGAAACATTCATACTAGTTACAGGTCTCACCGAACACTTTTTCAATCTACCCCCAGGAATTGAAATAAAGAGCCCAGTTCAAATTACCATTAAAGTTACCGGGTTCAACAAGCAGTACCTGATGAAAGCTGGAGGGCATTAGCGGAAATGTGTATATGACAATCAATCATCTCAAAAATATAGGTAAATAAAATCATTCTAGGTAAGTTGCAACATCTTTAATGCTGATTCGTTGTCTGATCTGGGTGAGTAATGTTTGCAAACAAACATTTTTTCAAAACTATATTTGCAAAAGTTTGAGCATGCTTTCTCTCCATGTTGAAAAAAGGAAACTCAGAAATAAGCATAAAAATCTTACTTAATCATTTATAACACGCCTTTTTCATTTATTATATGGAAAAGTATGAAACAAAAAACAACATTGGCAAGTGTGGTCAGAAGGAACCTTTAGTTTTCCACGGTCAATTGAATTATTATATTTCCCATACTTTTCATAATAAAAATGGGTTTCATATTCACTAGGTAGATTATCATTTCTTGTAATATATCCAGCTATGTATACGAACACCATTTTTATTTCATCAGAAAGAGTTAGTTCTAATTTTTCCAGATTTTCAAATATTTCTGAATCTTCCCCACACAATTTATAATCACAAGATGTACATTGCTTTGAGATCAAAAGCATCAATATTTACATTTTAATTTAAAAGTAATGATGCCTGCTTAATATGAAGCTTTTCAATCCACCATTGGACATTTATTAAATAGGTGTTACCTGATCCTTGATAATCCCTTTTCTAATCGATCAGTTTGAAAATACGCAAGTAGCACATATTTATAGCTGGTAATCAAAAGGGGTCGACATAGACTAACAATTCCATTGCAAGTATGGTAGTAGAAGTGTGTTTGGATCATTGTTTTATACGATTTCCTTGACTTCCAGCCATATTAAGAGCCATTTGACCAAAGACAATGATAAAATCAAGTCGGTTGTTATTTAGAGATCTCATTTTAACTTGTAAAGGGTCATTGTGTAGTTTATCAATGTGAAGGGTCTTAGCATTTAAAATTTCCGCAATTTCAAAACCTTGTTTATAAAGATTGCAGTATCATTCTTATCCCTAATTATTTCAGACTGAGTGAGAAGTGCATGTTTTTTTCTGAAAACACTCTGAGGCAAGTACAAATCCGTTGTCCTTCTATCAGCTTTGAAGCAATGAAAATTTCATTTAAATCTCAAAGTTTAACTTGTCTTTTCAGATTCAAAACGATGTAACTGTTTTTTTCATTCATCTTGTAATTCATTTTGAAACTCGTTTTACTCAATTATCATCAAAGATTAGTTCTCCTATCTTTCCTGTGAGCCACAAATTGCGAATAATTTTCAATAGATGAACATAATATAAAAATCAAATGTTTATTATCTTCAGTTAACCAAGTTTTTCAGTGGGTGTGAAATATAATCAAAACAAAAGTTTGATTTACTCGGTTTTCATCACATAATGGCCTTTACATCAGCTGCTACAGAAGTGATGGCCTAAACAAATAATTTAATTTGTCCAAATGATGTTAATTTTGAAATTGGAATCAATCTTGTAAGATTATACCAATGTTATGTACTGTTTGAGTAAGTAGAGATGGATTGACAACTGGCTTACCAAATAGTTGTTTGCCATGATATTGTAACATTTTCTTGGCATATACTTCATTGTGGAGAGTTATGAATCCTTTTAGACTGACATTAAAAGTATTAAATAAGGATAACAAAAAATATTTTTCACTAAGTTATTAAACTTTTGATATCATTCTTCGTAATGTTGCTAATGATGATAATTGAAAATCCTGTCTTAATCTATTATAAAAATGAACATGATTTTAAAGCGTATTACTCAAAAGCACGTATTACTCAAAAGCACGTATTACTCAAAAGCACGTATTACTATATCTGAGCTCGATTTCATTCCAACATTTCGGGGGCCATTGCTGAAAAGTGCTGACTCAAGATATTCTTTTTGTGATCAAAAGCCATAGAATTTAAATATCGGATAATTTCTAAAAAATGTTGACCAATTGTCAACAATATTTATACGCTTTTGGGACTGGCTGCTAATATAACACTTAACTTCATAATGAAAGGTTTCAAACCGCAAGTATATTTTTGTGATAAACTCTCAACGTAAAGAGATGGATCCCATCTATAAAGTTTGACGACTGAACAGTTAAATTACACGTGGACGCATAATGTTTTTTTTTTTGTTGATTAGACTTTCTTTGAAATTTGTATAATTAAACTCATCTAATTCTAAAAAAGAAACCTTCATTTGATCATCAATTTGATTTCGAGCAGTAGTAGATTTTTTTATCCCTTTGAACAGCCGAGGATGTTTGTATTTGACTCTATGGCACACATGGCCATACAGATGGTGGATTATGGGGGTGCATTTTTCTGTGAATTTCTGGGATAACAAAATTTTAAGGTTAATGTAGTTGACAAAAAACTGTATTGTTTGTAACATTCAGATTGGCATTTGGAACTGATTTTCTCCATCGCTCTCTCTCTCTCTCTCTCTCTCTCTCTCTCTCTCTCTCTCTCATCTTTGTCTTTTGGAAAATGAGAAACTGATATTCTATTCATTTCACCCACAGTTTTGTCTTGCTGGCTTTTGTAATTTACTTTACAAACAACGACACAACACTTTTAGAGCATTGATGGAAACTAGGTCATATCTGAAATGATAGATTAACTTTCTTAAGCACAATTATTTCTTTTACTGTTATAATTTAGGGGTAACTTTTCAAGTTAAATTAACTATACTCTTTAATCCTAACTTTTACCTCCCCATACCCAAGTTAAAAGAGAAATTGTAGCGGATTGCCTTAAGCCTAAAAATCCACTTTTTAAATTGATTTTGTTGTGGGGATTATCGATAACAAAGGTTTGCAAAATATTACATAATCTTTTAAATGATTATCGAGTTAATTAAGTATCTAAATTTCTGGCATTTATCAACATAAGATCAGCTATTGCCTAGTGTCCGGCAAGGAGAATACCAAGGGGAGAGGTCTTTGGCTATTTTTGAGACAATACCTCGTGGTGATGGTGGTGGGGGCAATCCACTGCAGCCTTCTTGTATCAAAAAATTAGTTTCGTGCTCAACTTGAATAAATACTTTAGAAAAACCTGGAAAAAATGTCTGAGTATCATGGTTATTTCGTTCACCGCGTTTTTAGAATATCGAATTAAATATATTAATTTTTATTATATGACATTAAATTTACGGAAAAAACATTTTAAATGGATTTTTCATTATTTTTTTTAATAAGAATATGGCATTTTCTTCTATTTTACGCTTTAATGGAAAATTTAAAAAATTAAACAAATCATTATTATTATTTGTTTGTTTATTTTTCCTTAAAGAAAAACACAACTAATAAAAAATTAATTCTATGAATGCATTTTGTTCTTTATGAATAAAAACTATACTAGAGAAAACTATTAAAGTAACTTTTTGAAATAATAAAAATGGCAATTTATTTTTAATAAAATTCGAAGTATAAAATTTAGAAAGAAGTGCAGTAAAATGTCTCCGTAAAGACGTGCATCTATTAAAAGCTAGACATTAACTTGATGTAATTTATTAATGTCGTTTTTAAACTAATTAAATCATTACATTTCACTCAAAAAAAAAAAGAAAATTTGATAAAAAAAGAATCATACTTTTAACTTTTAAAAACAAATATACGAGGCGTAAAAAGAGAATTCTTTTTGAAACGTAACTTTGCTTTTTTTGTTTTCTTACAGAACATTGAAAAACCTTTTAAAAGAAAAATATTGGATAATAAACTTAAACTGTTAACAGAAAAAATGTTGAGTCTGTGAGCAAGCTAACATTTTTTATCGTACTTTTTAAAAACTTTAGAAGACCCTAGAAAAATGGCCGAGCAGCAGGTTTAATTTCGTTCGTACAGAGTTTTTACATTATCAAAAATAAATGCTGAATTAAATATTTAAAATTTAATTATATATCATTAAATGTATATAAAAACATTCTTAAACGTTTTTTTCATTCATTTTGTAACAAAAAAATATTACATTTGCTTCTATTTTATTTTTATTGGTAGACTTAATCTAAACTAAAATAGTTTAATGTTTAAAATATAAACACAGATTAGACTTAAGAGAATTAAATTTTATAAATGAATAATTCTTATGAATAACAATTTCAAAGAAAAATATTTAAATAACTTTGTGACCACTGGCAAATAATAGCATTTTATTTTAAACAAAACAAATTTCGCAGTAAAAACAGAAGGGTGTAAAAAAGGTTTTCGGAAAGTCTAAACCACATAGTAGAAGCAAAGTCCATTTTTTTTAGAAGAAGAAGAACCTTAATAAACCTAAAAGTTTGTTTTTACTATCTACATAAATAAAATAATATATCAACTAAAAATAAAATAAATAAGTCTTTTACTTCAATTAAATAAGGTAAATGATATCCCAAATGTAAGGAAACATTTCTTTGAATTTCTTAAGCCAACAATACTGGTGAAGTAGCTAGCTCATATTGTAACTAAAAGGTCCTGCTGCTCTTATTGGGTCAAGGAATGTTTAAAACAGGCCTCCAGTTCTGTCTCTTCTTTACATTATGACTTGGTCGTCTAATATAAAACACCCTGATGTGCACTTATAAACTATCGTATTCTCTGTCCTCATAGATATTCACCAAAATGTCTCACATGTAAATCTTTCAGTTTATCTCACGGACAACAGGGTGCAGACACTTTGTAGATATTGTGTTTACCTACACTGATTCGTTTTCTGTATTTATTTGATTTCTTTCACTTCCTTTTTCTCCCAAGATTTGACGTGCTTCTGTTTTTTTCTTTTTCGTCCTATGCTGTACTAATGGTATTTTTGCTCCTATTGTTACGTCTTCATTGGATGTTTCACAATCATTTTCATCTTGTTGATAATCTGTAAACATATTTTATTTTAATTTTGTATATTATGCAAAAAACGTTTGATAACGTACACACCAAAGAACTGTTAGAACTCCTAAGGTAACCTTGACATATTCTAAAAGGATATTAAAATAACCCAGAACGTATATTGCGAACAAACTACCTGCAAATTCAGTAAATATATATATATAAATATATATATATATATATATATATATATATATATATATATATATATATATATATATAGAGAGAGAGAGAGAGACAAGGATAGGTCTTCTCACCGGACTTATTCACTCTATACTGTGAGGCGATTTTGAGAGAATTAGAAGTTCTACTTGGATTCATTATTGGTGGACACAATTTTAACAACGTAAGATATGCAGATGACACAGTGTTGACAGAAAATGCAGAACGGAAGTGAAAGAAAGCAATAAGAAAGGACTAAACATTCAAGAAGACAAGAACCCATGGTTATTAGCAAATCCAAAACAATTTAAATATTTGGGGAAGGCTTTAACAGAAATGTGAAAATGTGAATCTAACGTGAAGGCGCATTTGGATAGCAGAAAAACACTTTCCAAAAGATAAGCAAAGTATAAGAAACAGGAAAATTATATTAGAAACAAAGGAAGAGTCTGTCTATATCCCTGAGATGAGGTATTATGATTACTTGCATTATTTACATCATTCGGATTTTTATCCTCATCTTCATTGCCATATTTGGAGTGTGCCGAAATATTATGAGGAATATTATTAAGATGAAGACATCAGCCCGTAAATAAATAAGATATTTATTTGTCTGGTCTTCTGGGATGAGGAATTTTCATTATTTACAAGTAGACTATTGTCTTCATCTTTGCTGTTGCTGTCACAGCGGTGTATATCGATCTGGGTAATCTACAGGGAATTCCTAAGTGAACCCTTTATTTCATCTACAAGAGTAGACTGTTATCGTTGCTTTGTCCATATCTAAGGATATCGTCTGGTTTTTATTCTTGAGTACTGCTCAGTTATTGCTTGCCATTTTCCACTGAGTCCAAGTACATACTGAAATTCAGACAGAGAAAATTTTAAATTCCATTTTTGGTTTTAAGGTGCTTACAGACGTTTTTATTTCTATTTGTTTTTAAACTAAAAGAAACTTATCTCAAAAGTAGATATTTATATAAGCAGGTGTTTGACTGTTGTTACTGTGTCAGTGTGTACACGAGTCTGTGTGTGTTTGTGTTAGCGTGTTTGCACGTGAAAGCGCCCTTTTCACCTTTCTACTCTGAAACATTGCCAAATGAAAGATCATACATGCTTTTTTTTCTGAAATTGTTATTAGATTTCTGAGTTTGTTCACACGAGCGTCAAAATGTACTACTAGAGAAGAAAACGCGTGAGAGAGAGAGAGAGGTGGTAGAGGGGAGAGAGAGAAAGAAAATGGCGAGAAAAAAACTGCGAGAGAAAAGGAGAAATATAAAAAAGATGGAGTCAAATTTGAGAAGTGAAGAGTTTGAAGCGGTAAAGAAAAAGTAGAAAGAAAAAAAAACAACTGGAAGATGATGATGGGAAGAGGAAAGTTATCTGGCTTTTGCGCCTTGTCAAGCAGACACGGATTGCAAGGTTGCATTAGTGTGCTTACGAAAGGATATAAAGCAACGCAACCACGTGTAAATGGGCATATGTGATAAAATGTGAAAGCCTGTTAATGTGCAAATACAGTTGAGTGCATGCGAAATTTCCATTTGCAGTAAAACTACAAATACATTTGGGTAAATGTGGCAATATATCGACGTATTTTGCGTCTATCTCTCACCTTATAACAGCAAGTTAAAGTTTTTGAGTAGATAAATATTTGTAGGGGAGTATGTATTCATGGCAGAGTATTGGAATGGAGATCCGTAGATTTTGAGTCGATAATTCTTCGGAAAACGATCAGTGTAAGAATAAAAAGACAAAAAAGGATGGAGAAAGAAAGAAAATAGGAATAAAAAGTGAGGTAAAAAGAGTTCAAGTTTAATTTTGCACACGTAGTTTGTAGTATTTTTTATCCGATGGTACTCTACATCTGGTGTTATTTACATGTGCAGAGTAGCATTGGTTCTAAAATTGACAGAATCTTTCTATATTTTGTATTATGCTTGTAATGCAGTGTACAACAAATAATGCTGTGGATAGATAGATAGATAGATAGATAGATAGATAGATAGATAGATAGATAGATAGATAGATAGATAGAGTGAGTGAGTGAGTGAGTGAGTGAGGGAGGGAGAATATGAATGGTGCAGTAATTATTACAGTCGAAAAGAGAAAAAAGAATAAAAGAAGCAATAAAAAGAAAGAGATGAATTCAAATAAGGTAAAAGTAAAAACAAAACAGTGAGAGAGCAGAAAATAGATAGATAGACAGAGAGAGTGAGAGAGAGACAGTGGGATATAAGAGGTTTCATCTATATCAAGCTATTACAATAGACAATTACAGCAGGCATTATTGATATGAAAGAATGAAAAAGGAAGGTTTACGTCAAAAAATTGCTTAAATTTGTAAAAGGAAATATAACATTCTTCAGAATAACTGAGAACAAACCACACTCATTAAAATAAATTTATAACCTTTAGATTGATGCTGACAACGGGATTCTAACTACGACACAGTCATCACATGACTGCGATAGTCGTACGTAATGGAACAAAACATAAACAAAATATGAACTTCGGTCAATTTATCTAAAACTCCGAACACAATAATCAAGATCTTATCCGAAAATTGCAAAAAATAAAATAAAAATTCAGACAGACAATTTAGGCTTGTTTTTAATCGAACTTGTTTGAATATATATATATATATATATATATATATATATATATATATATATATATATATATATATATATATACATTTTCGTTAAAAACGACAGACAAAATACTACAGTTGAGCTTTTATTTAATTTTTCTTGTGTTCTGACAAGAGCTTTCTTTTCTGGACAAAGAGTGTGTAAGAACTGTCCGAATGTTCTGTTTTTCCGAGCGCTTTCGGCTATACTTTTAGCCATTATCAAGGATGGTTCAATGATGGATATTCATTATCAAGTAGAGTGTGTGTTCGATGTATTTTCAGTGTGTGGTAGTGATGTTTTAGTTTCCGAATACAGTTAAACCAAATGCATATTAATTACAAGCAAGATGAATCTGCTCTAAGACATATTATAAAGAAATATACTACTCCTATTGACCCGGATAAAAAAAATCAAACTTATTATCTATTATAAAAAATTTAAGACGGCCAACCTTATCCTCAAAAATAACAACACACCAACGAAGTCAAAATTACAAAGAGCGAACATTATCTATGAGTTCAAATGCCCTTTAAGGAACTGCGTTCCTCACCAAACCGGACTCATAAATAATTACATCGGCTACACAACAACATGTTTATCCAGACGTCTTACATTACACCTATCTGATCACAGTTCCATCAGAACACATTTAAACACACACTCAGATTTACCCGACACTATTAGGAACATACTAGTAGAAAACACTAATATATTAACTGCATCCACTTGCAAAAAAAAAGACTAAAAATAATGGAAGCTCTAATAATAAAAAAAAGAAAAAGCCAACTCTTAACAATATCAATTATGAACAAAGCCACAATGTGCTAACTGTATTCGGAAACTAAAACATCACTACCACACACTGAAAATACATCGAACACACACTCTACTTGATAATGAATATCCATCATTGAACCATCCTTGATAATGGCTAAAAAGTATAGCCGAAAGCGCTCGGAAAAACAGAACATTCGGACAGTTCTTACACACTCTTTGTCCAGAAAAGAAAGCTCTTGTCAGAACACAAGAAAAATTAAATAAAAAGCTCAACTGTAGTACCTTGTCTGTCGTTTTTAACGAAACATGCATAAAGGAAGGATTGCTGCCTAATTATACAAATATATATATATATATATATTAATGCGGCGGCATATTTCAATAATATCGTTTTTTATAACAGTTTATTATAATTTTATTAATCAAATATAAGTTTATATATATATATATATATATATATATATATATATATATATATATATATCGAAAAGGCTAAAATCTAAAAAATAAGTATACCGTGATATAATTTTTAGTGACTGTTAAAAGCAGAATTCTTTGAAGAATTTAAATCACCGACTTCTTTTTGCAAAATCGAACTTCATTTAACGAAAATCTGTTCTGAACTGAAAAATAAAAAACGCAATACACTAATATATTATTTAATTAGTACACCTTTTAATTGATTTTATGGATAATATATGATAAAGACAATATTATCTGAAGAAAAAACTTCAATGAAAAGTGAATTTTTACAAGATTTGTTTTAATTTTTTACAATTTTAAATTGAACAACTTATAAGATTTTTAATCGTTTTAAAATTCATTTTCCATGTGACAATTCTTAGGGAATCTTTTTATAAAGTAAAGCTATATTTATTAACTAGCAGCATGGTCCGGCGTTGCCCATGCTTGATTCAAAAATCGTACGACTCATACTGCAATCGCTATCACTTGACTTAAAATATTTTTGCCCTTTCTTGCCTTTAAAGGAGTGCCCTTTGCCGTGCTGATGTTGCTACATGCCTTACTTCTTGCCTATCCCACACTGCGAATTTTTTCTAAGCTCTATACTAAACATTAAATCGGTTACAAAAAAAGAACTAAACAAAATGAACACAAAACGATCAGCTTTAAAAAAGGACTCGTAACTGGAAAAACCGAATGAAAAAAGAATGTTAACAACAAATACTTTTTCACACCCAAGCCAGTTCTGCGGAATCAGAATCAACGTTGAGTTTAAGCAAGCGAATGAGCCAATTGAAGTAAAGTGTCATACAGATTTAAATTTTTCCCACTTGTGACGAATGCAGCTATCGATTTTTTGCATGCTAATTAACATTCGTGTCAGTCAGCTGTTGGCTCTGACGCTGGTCAATAGAATCTTCCTGCCTATTCGTGGCAGCCAGCTATAGGCTCTCACTCTGGCCAGTAGAAAATGGCCGCAAACTACATGAAAACTGCCGTAGAAGCATGAAAAATCGATTATTTCCACTATCGATGGGAGTTGAGAAATGCAAAGTCGGTATTGGCCTTCCCGCTAACTTGGAGCATGTGCATGTAAATTTTGGTGCAAATCCGCAGAAAATTGTGGCCGTGCATTCGTTACACACAACACACACATCCTGCCTTTTATAGATAGATATCATATATTGTAACGCTTATTACAATCTGACGATCCCGAATATTTGAAAAGAATTTCGATTTATTTTCGCATTCGTGATTACGTGCAGAATTTATGAAGTGTGGATGAACAAACCGATAAATCTAACACTAAAAGGACACGTGTTTTTAGGGCTGTTTCCCACTATAAAGTTTATTGTCTGCTCTACCATACTTAACAATAAACACTTTCAGCTGTAAATCTGATGTCAATAAATCGATTAACACCTTAGAAAAAAACAGACCCTGTAATTAAGAAATGTTTGTATACAAATATAATTAAGTAATATTTGTTTCAAATAAGATTAATTTAACTTTAAATTTACTAATTTTCCTCAAATAACGTTTCAAAAAAATATATATTTAATTTTTGCAAGCTTTTTAAAATAGAGAATTAACTTTTAGTTACAAATATGTCAAAAATAGACGTTTTGATCGATTTTACTGAAAACATCGATTCCGATTTCTGTTTGAAAGACACCACAGAGTATTTTGCCTACTGAAAATAGTGAATTTTAAATCCTTTCACTTTCAATTAACGCTAAAATGAAAGCTTCAAGAAAGCGTTTACATTTTTAAAAATCCATTACGAATACCAATTAGCAGAGGTACATATATATATATATATATATATATATATATATATATATATATATATATATATATCAGGTCATCCCTTAAGTTCTGTCCGAATTTTGAATAAAGAAAACAAGTGACCAAATGTTACATTTAATTACAGATTCAATCAACAATGTATTTTCCCTGATTATCTATGACTTCCTTCCATCTATTAATAAACTTACTAATTCCATTACGGTAAAATTCTTTTGGCTTTGATTCGAAGAACTCACAAATGTCAGTTTTAACCTCTTCCTGTGTTACAAAAGTTGTTTCTTCCAAATGATTCTGTAAGCTACGAAACAAATGGTAGTCTGAAGGAGCAAGATCGGGAGAATAAGGTGGATGAGGAACTTTCTCCCAGCCAAGTTCTTCGATCTTTTGTGACGTGATTCTTGTTGTGTGGGGTCGCGCATTGTCCTGATGAAACATCACCTCTTTTCGATTCACTAGAGCAGGTCTTTTTTCCTCAAAGCTTGGTTCAAACGCTCTAATTGCTGACAGTAAATTTGAGCATTAATTGTTGCATTAGGTGGTAGAATTCAAAGTGGATTATTCCTTGGCGATCCCACCAGATTGAAAGAAGAACCTTTTGCCCATGAAGTTCCCTTCTCGGCTGTGGCTGGGGTTCTTTCCCTTTACCAAGCCACTGTCTACGATGCTTAACATTTCGATAAAAGATCCATTTTTCGTTGCCAATCACAAGTCTATCCAAAAAAGCTGAAACAAGTTGGCGAGAATGGAGAGAAGAGCAGATGTCAACTCGGGATTTGAGGTTGTTTTCAGACAATTCATGAGGCACCCATTTTCCAAGTTTAGGAACTTTTCCACGTTGTTGAAGATGACGATGAACAGTTGTATGGTTTGAACTGAGAACCACTGCCAATTCCTCAACTGATAAAGCAGGATTTTCTTTAAGGGCTGCTTCGAGAAGCTTTTCATCAAACTCAACTGGACGTCCGGTTCGATCTTCATCTTCAAGGGTGAAATCTCCACCTCTGAATTTTGCAAACCATCTTCTGCAAGTTCTTTCATTTACACATTCCTCTCCATAAAGAGAGTGAATGTTTCTAGCCGATTCGGCTGCTGAATTTCCTTTCTTGAACTCATAAAGCATTATGTGCCTCAAATGATTCTTGGGTACTTTCATGTTAGCAGGGTTTTACTGAAACAAAATTTAATTTTATTGTTCTCTGAAATAAAACTTGATCAATTTAAATGCATCTAAACATAAAAATAATGTTCAGCTCCATTAGACATTATAAAAATACTCTTTAAATTTCATTCATTTTAACAAAAGTTAAAATTCGGACAGAACTTATGGGATGACCTGATATATATATATATATATATATATATATATATATATATATATATATATATATATATATATATAGCATTAATGCGTTGGTATATTTTAATAATATGTTGTTTTTTTTTCAATAACATCGGGTTTTTACAGTTTATTATATTATTTGACATTTTACTTTTATACTATTTTGTACTTTGTTTCGCATCATTTGTTTTAAAACGTTCTCCTTGCAATCTTATCCACAAGGAGACTGCAAAGAACTTTTCAGTCCCCTCGTCCACGTTCTTTCACTTCTTCTCTTTATATATTTTTCCCTTCGTCTAAATTATTGTTCGTCTCTTCCTACTTTATCAGTTTTCATTTTCTGTTTACTTTTTATTGCATTTTATGTTT